ACCACAGTTGACACCACTTAAAACTCCTTAATTTCCCCTCCCCATTCCCACATTGAAAACACATGAATGAAACGGACCGTTGCCACGTGGCAACTCAAGTATATATATTCACAAGCTCCACGTCAACAATTCTTTTGTAATTCAGTTCATAATTGGTTGATTGTTTTTTCTCCTATTTATTTTTCATTTATTTTTCTCTTTTTCGTGTTTACTGAGACAGTATTATATAACTATGATCCATATTCCCATAAGTACAAATCGTTTTTACTATACGCTTGCTTGCAGCAGTTTTGTAGCTGCAGCTGCCACAAGTAACATTTACGATTATAATTATTACTTCTACAACATAATTGCTATAGTTATTTTCACTAATTAATTTTAATTGCCTCCAATAGTTGAATTCAATGTTTCTTAATAAAATGTATTGTTCTTTACTTCCAGACTCGAAAAATCACTACACGCGCGCTTTTCGTCGCTTTTCATGATATTACACCAGATATATACTGTGAAAACAAAAAACAAAAACAAATAAAAAAATTCATCAAATTATTGTTTCAAAAACTAGGCTATGGATTATGAAACACCCATTTTAAGATCAACGTAAAACAATTCTTTTCAAACATATATATTAATGTAGCCAATTATTAGAAAAAGGAGAGTAATTAGCTTACGATCTGATCAGATCAACTTTGTTTATTATATCTTCTATTTGATGACCTTTTCATCGACTAAATTGATGATATATATGCCAGCCTCAGTGACGAGATCTCATAAACTTCTGGACCAGAAGCAATGTAATATTTCAGCAACAAATTAGAGTAACACTCAATCTATAAGTATATACACATGCATTATACGTTGATAACTTTATCAAGTACTTTTCATATTTCTTTCACATAAGTTGCCAATATATACACAAATATACATATATACATATATACATATATAGTTCGAATCCTGTAGCTTAGGCATCGTTCATTTCGCTGATTCGAGTTTAGAATTTGAGTTTTGCTACAGTAAAAAGCTCTCACAAACAGTCACATCTAACTTTTTTGTTACAGTAAAAAACTCTCATATAAAATCAAATATTAACTCAAATTCTAAACTCGAATCAGCGAAACGAACGAGCCCTTATTTTGTTACGTAGCCATAAAACAAAACCCAAAACCCCACCACCATCGTATTCATCTTAGATACTTTAGAGCACCCTCTATATCAATGTCACACTGAATATATCTGCAGTCAATTATACAAAAACATACATGATCATGACTTGTACATGTGTGTGTGTATATATATATATATATAATATATTTTGTTTTTAATACAGCATGGAATCCAATTAATACGATGTACACTAATTTACTCGCCTTTTCTTTCTATTTTTTGGGATTCAACACGGTTGATCATCAGCTAAGAATCTACAAACTCCAACGAAGAAAAATCTTATTTTGCCCCATGTATAAGAAATGAATCACACTGTTTTTTTTTTTTTCAAATTAGTACGTGGTAGTTTTGCTTGGTTGGATTCCAAAAAAAAAAAAAAACTCGCACATCAGTTTATCACATCAATTGATGGGAAAAAGAAAATGGTGCACAAATAATTGTCTCAACATTATCTGCTCAGAAAATAATTTATACCAAAATGGGCAAGTCCCATTTGCCCATTGCCAAAATGCCCAACTAACTATACAAGTCTTGAACATTAATAATCTTGAAGAAAGAAGAAGACATAATAGCAAAACATCTTTAAAGGGCATGCATGCAATATTGAAACTCAAAAGATTCCCAGAAAAAAATTTTTCCCTCCCTTTTTTTCTTCTTCCAATACTACACTTACATTAGAGACCCAAAACATCAATGTGCCCACCAAAAGAGATGGAGCCCATGGACGGTTGAGATGAAAAAAAGTGGTGGGGCCAGTAACACCCACCACCGATCCTTCTCTCTTATGGTGCCAGCAACTGCACCATAAAAAAGATGAGGAATGATCCACCTGTTTGTCAGTGACTATTGTACATTGGTTAGGGCAATGACCAGCATTATGGTCCCACCACCTGAGCCAACACCTGGAACTGATAAGGGTCTGGATCCCACCGTCCTATTACCCCTTCTCTCTCTCTCTCTCTTGAAAAATCTTAATCATTGATACAGTAAAACTTGAGATTCATGGCAGAGATTTTAGAATCAGTTAAAAAAGAAAAAAAAAATTGAATATTTAAGAGTGAAAACCCTTTTTTTTTTTTTTCCAATTCTAACGTTGCAGTAAGTGTAACACTGTTTCATCACTTTCAACTACTACGCAAACTTTGTGGCTATGAGTGAAGGAGCATAATATGGAGAGAAGAAAAAGGAAAAAAAAAGAAGAAAAAAAGAAAAAAAGAAAAAAGAAAAAAAGACCCAATTATTAGTTAGGTGGGAGACTTACCACAATGCATGCAAAAATATATAATAAAGAAAAGTCTTGGAACACTCAAAATTCAAAAAAGCATAAACTACAATATTGTTTTCTTTTTTATAAAAATTATATAGAAATTTTGCACAAACAATGATGATACTGAATAATGTACGGTGTAGTAAATCCCCAAAATGAGAATACTATTAGGGACCAAAAAACCAGCCAAAAATACTCATGTTAAGATAGTAAATAATGTCTTTCTTCCCCAAACCCTATATCAAAAAAAAAAAAAAAGGAAAAAAGAAAAAAAAATTAGAAGCCCCCATATGAATCACACTGAAAAAAATGTTTGGAAATAAATTAAAAAAAAAAAACTCAAATTTTTCAAAAGAGCAATCAAACCTCACGTGTGTTACACATCAAACTACTACACATGTGGGAAAATCATGATGATCATCATCTCCTCTCCCCCTATGAGTGATGACTGTTGCTATCATGCCGGTCGTCGCCGCCGTGAGAACCACTCGCTTGCGACTCCGATACCCCGCCACCGGAAACTTGCCGGTATGGGTTTAGTGCGGTCAGCATGCTTAAGTGGCTGTCCCCTAAATTATTCCCACCGCCACTGCCACCGCCGCCGCCTCCGCCGTCGCTAGACCCTAATTGCTGACTTGGCATTAAAGCAAAGGGCGTTGGAAAATTCATAAAATGCAACCCACTAGACATAGTTCCCCTATACAACCCACTATTGTTAACCGAAGGAAATGTCCAAATTGGGTCTCCACTCATCACTTGACTATTGGAATTAGCCACCATCCAAAAGTTCGCCGGAATCTGCCCGTGGTGGTGGCCGGCGGGAACGGTGCTGGCGCCTGCGGACTGCAACAAGTACCCTCCCATTGAGCTGTTCAAGTCCTGCTGCTCCGGCTGCCGCCGCTTCCTCCCAAAGCCGTCATCCGCCGCGGCCTCCGAGAGCTCCAACGACGTCGTCGCGGCCACGGCCGCGGCGTCTCGCAACTCCTGCTTCGCCTGCAGCATGGGGGACTGGAAATTGAGCAGCGTCGAGGTGTTGTTCGTGTCGGACGACGATGGCGAGAGCCCGATGCCCGGAAAAAGGCTGCTCCGTCGGTGGTGGTGGTGCTGCTGGTGTTGAATTGAGAAATTAGGGTTGTAGTACGAGGACGATCGGAGCTGGGAAGGGATGGACATGCTGGAGCCGGAGCTCCGGAGGGAGATGTTGAGGGAGGTGAAGTTGGCGGGGATGGTGCCGGTGCCGGTGGCAGCGATGACGGCGGGCTCCGCCTGCTGTAGAAGCCACTCAATGGTCTCTCCGTCGGACTTGTGCCCTAATTCCCTCGTAAGCTGGAACACCCGGGCCGCACAAAGGGCCGGCATTCGGATGCGCCGCCCCCGGCCGTCCACCTTCGTGTGCCGATCCTTCGTGGAAGTCCGCTTCGGCGGAGGCTTCTTCGAAGCCTCCCCGGAATAAGGGACAACTTGAAGAGGTGTTGTATTAGGACTTGCAGTATTAGTCATCATCGTCGTCATCGTCATCGCCGTCGTGGTGGACGTTGAGCCAGAATTCGGTTCGACGGCCGCAGAGATTGCTAGAGAAGGGTACGCCGCGGCGGAGGAGCTCGAACACGAGGCCTCTGTCGCCTCTTCCTTCTTTTCTAGTAATTGGAACGGGAAATTGGGGCGGTGGTGGTGTTGTTGGTGGTGGTGATGGTGGTGGTGGTGATGGTGGAGATCATCGCCTCCTTCCATGATCGCATGTATAAGAAGGACTAAAACCACTAGTAGTATCAATTTTGTTCCTTTTTTTTTTTGTTTTTCCTTTTGGTATAGTAAGAGTGAGGAGGAGCTCTAACTAAGACTTAGTTTAATGTTCTTGTTGTTGGGCTCTTTGGTGGGACTTTGTTTTGTTTTGTTTTTTTTTTTTTTTTCTCACTTGAGTAGCTTGAGGCTTTCTTTTATCTCTATTTAGGGAGGGGACTAACTTTGCTTTTTTTAGTCTCTCTTTGTTTGGTGTTGAGGATGGGATTTGTATGAGACTGATGTTTTGGAGTAGAAGTACTATAGTAGCTAGCTATGGAGAGAGAAAGAGAGAGAGAGAAAATAAGCAGAGGGAAAGA